TGCAACATTCCAAGGTCCTTATATGGCAGATGGTAGTGGTTTCCCTCATTGGTGTCTCAGAGATGGATCTTGAAGCTCCCATTTCCTCGCTTGACAATTCCCATATTCCCGAGAGTTTGGAACAACTCGATCGGAGCGGTCGATGGGACTGCAGGAGATGGATGTTCAGCTGGAGAAGATCTATGCCCTCTTGGACCCCACCAAGGCTTTTTGGTCGGTGGGTCGATCAAAAGGCTGACAGATGCGACCGGAGCAGCCGTTCTTTCGGTGACGCTTGAAGGTGCCAGCAAAAGAATCAAAAAGGTCCGGTGACAGATTGACAGAACATTGACAGATTCCAAACTCCAACAAGAAAGGGCCAGTACTATTTTTGACAGATTGACAAAACATCTGGCCATTTTACGGGTGTTTCAACAGAAAGCAAAAGGAAACAAACCATTGTTGGTGCCCCCGCCATGTTGTTGTTGAGACAGGTGGTGATCGCCTATGAGCCCGTCTGGGCCATCGGTACCGGGCTCACCGCCACACCCCAGGATGCCCAGGAGCTTCTGAGTTTTGTTTCGTGAGCTCGGGGATCAATTGGTATAGACGGGTTGGCTCTCTTTACTGATTCTTTTTTTGGGGGAGGGTGTTCTCCTACTAGAATAGACTACAGAACAAAAAAAGGGGCACCCTCATTCTATCCTCTCCACTGAAGGACCTAGTGACCTAGTGATTTTCCATTTTTAGTGTATCCTATTTTGGGGATCGGCTTTTATTTCCAGATCCCTAAGGACAGGAAACCCTTACTTGGTGGTTTGGATTGGTGGCTTTGGGGATTTGAACCGCTGGTTCTTGTAGATAAGTGGGAAACCAGCCCCCAACCTCCCCCGTTGCTGTAGAGGGTAAAGGGGGCCCATGGCATGCTAAGGTTTAGAAACTGCTGTAGAAATGGAATTGGACCCTTGGCTCTTGATGACAGTCAACCCAACAAGAAGCAAATACATGCCCCTTGCAAGCTATGTCATCCATAGGAGGGAGTCTGGAAGATAAGGGGCGTATGTAGCAACTCGCCTGCCGGTATTAGCTGTTCACAGCTTACCTGCAAATGGCTTCCATGCAAATGACTCATGCGCGAATGGCTGACTAGGTAATGACTCGCCTGCAAATGGCTCACCTGCAAATGGCTCACCTGCAAACGACACCCGCAAATGGCGCACTTGGCAATGACTTACCTGCCATGACTCGCCTGCAAATCAAATGGCTCACCTGCAAATGGCTTACCTGGACAAGTTCCGCCAAGCGACTTAACTGTAAATGACATACCTCTCTTAACAACCTACTTGCCAACTTAGCTGTTGACAGCTTAACAGTTTACCTCAAACTCAATGTTGTTTTTCAACTGACCTGCAAATGATGCCTTCAAATGACTTGCCTTCAGCTGACTCACCAGCGATGAACTCACCAAGCCATGCTCACTTGCCACTCAAATGGCTGGCTTGGTAACTGACTCACGATGAGCTCTTTGGAGTCAGGACACCCATGCGGGCATCCGCAAGCTCATCGGCGAGAAGGCCTCAGCCGAGGCGCAACCGATCCCAAAAGCGGAAAACGAACGTTCCCTGGTGGCCGGTGGATACCTTAACGTTCTTAAGGACATTAGTGGACATTCAGCCATTTTATGTTATTCAACATCTTCAGATCTCAATGGTGGATTCACCGTCTGATTTTCCTTGACAAGGGCATGACAAGCATTCCAAGAACGTTCCATGATCTTATTCTATTCGCTACCTTCAGAACAGTGTTGACAGATTGAACATGGACCCAATTCCGGGTTGCTCCATGGAACTCTGAATCCCTTTGTCAGATGTACGAACAAGTCCGCTCCCAAATTCCACGGAGTGGAAGACGACTGTGCTAAGGGCCCTGTCCTTCCTTTCGGACCGGCGCCCGGCGTGTGTTTTCAGGTGGCCGAGAAGATCCGCATCCAATACGGGGGCTCGGCGAACGCGAAGAACGCCCCGGAGCTGTGGCTCTGCCTTGGGCTGGAACGTGCTGGAACCGTTTCTTGGGGTGTTGTGGGGAAACGTAAGAGAAACCACCCATTTTTCGAAGGAACATCACCCGTTTTGGGTTTTTTTGAAGGGCATCCATATTGTTGGGGTGTATCAAAGGGAAATAGGAGGGACACCACACATTTTCGGGGTGTGAAACTGGAGGGGAAATGCATGTCGGGAAGGATACCTTTTGGGAAGGTGCCCTTCTGGGATTGTTGCGGTGTGGCTCCTTTCCTTGAGTTAGTACCTTTTGTCTAAAGGGAAGCCATCCATTTGGAGCGTTCTCCGACTTAGAGACAGCCCCGAATATGTGTTTCAGAGATCTGTCTTAGCACATGGTTCATCATGATTTATTTGCCTGCTTGAGCACTAATTTACTGTTTTTGTTTGAGATTTGCAAGTGCATCCCCTTTTGGCAAGGTGATGTTCAAATGGGGGGGCATGCAAGCAAGGCTTGTTTACAGGTCGGTATGCCTTGTTTTTGAGCACCCCAAAAAAGGTGGATTTCCTTTTGGCTTCCCTTTGAAGCCGCTAAACAGGTGCACACTCAAAAATGACACACCCAGGTGGTTATTGAGGTTGACCAGGATGACCAGTCCTGCATATGTCCTGGACAAGTTGTCATGGGCCCTTTTAAGGACCCGCGAAGAATCTTTCTTGAGGAATGGCGTTTAGGCCCCTTGTTTTGTTTCCCTTCTGGATTTTGATTTGGAGTTGACGGGACCAATCGGGGAATTCAGCGGGGAACTCATTCACGGAGATTCTCCCCAAAAATGTCTCAACCTGCCAAACGAATTGCCCGGCGTCGGTTTCCGGCCTGAGGTGGGTGGGTCTTTTTGTGGGGGACCCCCTCTTCGGTTGGTTCCAAACGGAAAGCCAAAAGGACAACACCCAAATGTGTGGGGGTGGGGGTCCAAACCCCTTTTCTCATTTTTGGGTCTGTTCTTTGTCGATTGGTTTTACCCGGGCCCCAATGGACCGAAGCGCCCGGAATTTCCCAGGTCGGCCATGCCGGACATCGACGGGTTCCTGGTGGGCGGCGCCTCGCTGAAGCCCGAGTTCGCCGAGATCGTGGCGGCCATCTCCGCCGCCAAGTGATGCCCGCGAGCGAGTGCCGGCGGGAGTGCCTGAAGGCTCAGATTTCGGTCCGGAGGAGCCGAGAAAAATAGAAATAACGACTAGTTAGAGGAACCCCGAAACATAGAAATCATTCTTTAAGGGGAAGCCAGCCCTAGTTGAAGGAACCCTCCAAAATAGATGTCCTTCCATAAATATAGAAATCCACGCCCCATAAATATAGAAATCCACGCCTGATTAGTACGGTCCTCCGGATGAATCTGCAGTAGACGGTACTCAAAATGGTTTTGTTGTTGAAACAAGTGGTTGGAAATAAGTTGACTTTCGGATGTTGAAAAGAAGCGCACGGACATTAACGCAGATTGTTTATGTGTTTGGCTTCGAATGATGTCATGGTATAACTTTTCGATGGACGAACTGTCCAGTGCACAGTCGCAGAGCGATCTGTGCGGTTTTTGCGCCTTGGCCGGGTGAAGCACCTTGCTGACGGTGATTTGTTTTCCCCTATCGTGAGAGTCGACTTTGGATCGCATGCAACCATTGCAGCGAGAGAGGACAAATCCCGCGATACTGTTGCATGATATTTGGACCGATCGGTGAAGCTCAAACCATGTTGGACCGATCGGAGTTCAAAGGTGTTCCACGTTAGGTGATATTCAGGTAGCCCCTTCGGCCTCCTGTAAGAGCCTTAGGTGCCAAACCGGGTTCGAGGCTTTCTCGGTGTGGTTGCTGTCCTTGTGCACTTTGAATTCCCATCCAAAAGGATCCCTTTGAGACTGAGATCCCGAAGGGCACTGTATTCTGGAAAAGGCCAGATGTCAGCGAATCAGACAGACATTGGGCACCCCCCCCGCTCACCCAAGGATTCTCAATCCGTAAGAAGGTTCTTAGGACTCTTCCTGGGGGAGCCTTGAGATATTTGCTCAAAGGCCACCAGTTACGGAGATGCCTCATAGGAAAAAAAGCATCACTCAGTTCACTTGTACGCTTCCAATGGAGGGCCATGGTAAACTCATATACTGTCTCATGTTGAATAGGCGAATCTTTAGCGACATGGGGAACTGCAAAGGGGGTATCCTCCTAGCACACTGAGTGCTGGAGCAATAGTTCAATAGTTGTATGTGGGTGTGTATTTTTTGAAGGTACCAATTGGGGATGGCTCGAAAGGGAAATGAAAACAATCCTGTGATAGTTGTTGGGGGTTCGCAGTGAGTTGGGTAATTTGTTTGGAGTTTTTTCGTCCGGGTAGCTGAAATCTGCAGGGATTCTAACTTCAAGTGGAGATGGGGTGTACGCAAGAGATTGGCAGGGGAGCATGTTGCAGGATGTGCTGGTCCGGTGCTGCCGGGTGATCTGAGGGGTCCTTTTGCGCGTATTGGAGGGCCGGCCAAGGCGTAGGAAGGTGTGGGCAAGCGAAACGGCAGGCTCGGTGCTGGTACCAAGAGTTGGTGCTGAAGGTTTGGAGGGTGCCGGAACCGTTCTGGTCCGCAAAAAAATGAGGCGCAGGTTGTTTCCAAACATGAGTCATTTGGTAAAACAAGGTTGTCAAGTACCTGTTTATGAATTCCGTGTGGCTTGAAACCAAAGGAACATCGAATCCCATGGGGGCTGTAGGTTCATATCCAATAGCCACCATATGCCCCAATCAGACCCAGGTAGAATGCTGAGGCGCAGTCCCAGGTGCGGATGTCCGACTCTTAGAGTTTGGGTGAACCCCAACAAGCTGCGGCTTTTAACATTTTTCAAGATGTTGAAGCCGCACGGATTCTGTTTTTGAGCTCAAAAGGACCTTGAACATCAGATTTGATTTGGATTTGGGATTCCCAGGTCTGATTACCGGGTTTGATGCATCTCGTTTGCCAACTTGCCGTCCGCCCGAAAGCCGAGGCGTGAAATGCAGGGTATGGGCTTCGAGTTCTATGTGCCGGAGGCACCTGAAGAGCTGAGTGGCCCAGTTCGTGAGTCCAGAGAAGTCGTCTGGAAATATGGGTGTGTCTTTCGTTTTGGGGGAGGGTACCCTCCTTTTTTCACGGAAACCAAAGGGAACACCGCCATGTTGTGGGTCCGCTGAGGAAAATGGCATGCCCACGTGTATGTACATATGTATGTATATACATATATATGTATGTATATGTATATATATATATATATATATATACTACGCATTCATGTTGTATAGGGAAACCAACAGACAGCGTTGCTATTTGGAGGGTCCAACTGGGTTTGAGTTGGTAACCATGGGTTTCAAGGGCAGGAAACTGCCAGTGCGCGCTTCCACTTGAGAACAGAAACTGTAAAGCACGTGTCATCGGTTCGTTGACCTTTGGCTTCGGCGTTTTGTTCTTAGCTGGGCATAAACACGTTGTTTGATTCTTCTCATCAGCTTGACTGGTCCAATTCGTGCCCGGCCCACTGACCGGACTTTACAAGGTAAGTAGCCGCAGGTAGGCGTTGGTTTCTAAGACCACCCAGACAAGAGACATTCAACTAACTATGTGAAGTCTATTCAAGGGTCCATAGACATATTTGTACTGTGTCATCCGAACTCCCTTAACAATGGTTAACTGGGGGGCGTGTGCCATCTTGTGTTGCTTGTTATTTTGCTTTTTAGTGGGGTATGTCTTATGGTAAGAGTTGGTTGACATGTCTCACTTGACTTTTCGTTCGTCGTTGATAGCCCTGCCGGGGTTAGTCAGAAAAGGGAGTGCCTTTTTTTTGCACACTTTTGTGACCCCCTTCAAAGGAACATATCAAGGGCACGGGTCCAAAATCGGGACCCTTGCATGAAGAACAACCCTTTTGTCTCGCAGCAATTTCAGACTTGCTTTGTTCGTTGTAGGGCTCGTTTGTTGACCGGATGCCTAGTTTTCTCAGCTTTTCCGTAAGAACTCCAGGCCAAAACAGCTCATACAACGAAACGCACCCCTTGGCTGTCATCGGCGGTCTGAATGTGTTGCACATAGGCATGTTTCTTTGCCTACCTGTCCTCGCGCCGGTGATGTTCTATCAAAATTCGGATCACACACCTACGTACTCAGTTGCCCCAAGCCCACCTTTTGACCTTTTGGTTTTCCTAGTGTTAGTCTAGCGGCCCCAAAAGGTTGGTCTTTTATTGTTGTGTCCTTTGGGCTGAGAGTATGAAGCGACCGGTTCACCGAGTCTTTGCCGCTGGTTTTCACGGTTTGGGGTTTTCCCTACAGGGCTGATTGCCACAGTGGAAACGTTCTGCCACGGATCCCTCACAGGCTCTGGGAAAGGTCCAAGGAAGAATTTGTGCTACAGCTTAAGTTGGGTGTCCGGGAATCTGAGGGGTGTCCACTGCACCATTCAGGGCTTCACTTTTTCTGCACTTGTTCAAGCGTTCATTGTGCGTTTGCACGACCATGGTTGCGGAACATCGGGTGTTGTGGTCACTTGCTGCGGTAGGGAATGCCCTTCCAAGTGACACAATAGGTCCACCTCAATGCGGGAAAAGGTATTTGTCCATTCTGCACGAGAGCACTGTTTGAGCAGGTTATATTGAGGCCTATATCAACTTTTTTGGCCGTGTTGAACCGGACGGTGCAGTGATGGGTGTTGCGTGCCGACAAATGGCTTGGCGCTGCTCTTTCAGTAGAGCGGCGCTCAAAACCACTCTTGACCAAACGTCAGCTCGGGTGAAACGGGCGCTTGTCAGTTGACGCGCAGGCGTGCAGATCCTATTGCATTTGCACCTTCAAGACGCCAGAGCATCCGTTCAGCTGACGAGTTTAGGGATGGTGCTGGTTTTGTGGAGTTGGTTGGACCCTGCCCCTGCCCACTGACAGTGGCCGATGAACACTTGGATCAACTACTACCCACACACACTAAAGAAATTTTCCAAATTGTGGTGACTGTTGTGGTTTGGGGGCAGGGTGCAAAGTGTTGGTGCATAGAAATTCAGGAAAGGAAGTAGTTGCGTTTGTGGCCATTGTTGAATCAGGTCCCATGAAGAGTTGAAGGGTACGCTACAATGGTTCTGAGCCAACGAAATGGTGCCCCGCCATGAGTTGGGTTGCAACCTTCCGCTTCAAAAAGTCCCACTGATTGCGGAGGGGTATTTTTCACTCCCGATACAAAGTCATGCCAGCTTTGTCTGGCAGATGTTTAGCAAAGGGTTGGAGCAGAGAAGCTCAGGTTGCCTTGACTTGGTGGCTTGGATTGGTGGTTTGGGGGGGTAGAACCTCTGGTTCTTGCAGAGGGTAAATGGGCAACCACCCCCTAACCTTCAAGCCACCAATCGAAGCCGCCAACTGGAGGGAAGCTAAGAAGAGTACCTCTTTTTTTACATGGCGGGGCACGGAAAGGGGGTTTGTATTTCGACTCAGTGAATTCAAACAAGAAAAGCACTTAGCAAAGGGATCTTATGACCTGGGTTCCCTGTGTTAGGACACACTCAAATATGGGTGTTTCTTTTTTGGAGGAGTGTTTTAAATGGGCGCATGGAATTTGACGTTTGCTCGAGCATCCTGACATCGATTTTCAGCTCTGTGATATACACGATTCAGGCGGGAGAAGTGGATTGACCAACCGAGAGGCACACCGGGCATGCACCACACGCTGACGGAGAAGGAGAATGAGACCGTCCAGACTGCCAATGTGAGGGCTCTTTTCTTGGTGAAGTGGGCAGCTGCAACGCAGATGCTGCCGGGCACTGCAGTGTACCTCTGCCCGGAGATATGCATCGCCACCAGAGGGGGCGATGACGGCGAGCCGGTTCAGTCCAACAGCCCGAGACAGGTTTGAGGAGCGATGAATGCCGTACGAGGCAGAGCTGCTTTCAACAATGAGGTGCGCGCGCGGCAGTTAGTGTCTTGGTTGGTGTTTGATAACGTATAATTTCCCACAACGACACATGGTGCCCTTTGTTGAACTCACTTGAATTCTGTTCGATGGGCGTCCTCCTCAAAAGCATGCCACTTTTTGTTTGGTAGGCTTCCTCTGCGATATTAACAAACGAACATTTGTCTTTCGCCCTGTTTTGGCGGGTGGTTGCAAAACTCGTCCCGGAAAGGATGCTCCCTTCGGCCCCTTGGTCTACACAGACTCTTGCTCCCTTTAGTTGTTTGAAGGGAAACCAAAAGGACGGTATTTGGTCCGACCCTCATTGACAAGCACTTGGTGGTCTCCTTGCTTGTCTCTAAAACTGGTGTCAACAGGTTTCCCCAGTGTCGTGTTGTGTTTTGTTCAAATGCTGTCGGTCCATAGCACGAGGAGCCATCAGTGACGAGCGCCTTTTGGTGACTATTCGTGGCCAAGGACCAAGGTCCATGACTTACTTGTTTCGCATGCGACAAGAATTGCTTCGCACCAGTTGCGATGGAAGAAGCACCCGATTTGAAGATTGACGGACAAATATCACCTACCAACCGGTGCATAGTTTTGTCCAATGGCTCGCATCGGATGGTGTGCCCTGTGGCAGGAACTTCGACTTCCAAACCTTTTACAACCTGCTGGCTGAGCAAGGGTGCGCCAGAATGCGATCGCCATGTGTCGCCTTGTAATTGTGACACGGATATTGGGTGTGTCATTTTTGAGGGTTCGCTGTTGCAGGCTTGCGTGACGACTTCTTGAAATGCGTGGTTTCTGATTGATTTCTCCCTTTACGCACTCCCAAAAAGGGGGCCCTTAGAAAAGACACGCCCACGAGGACCCCTAGCCTGGACACATCTTATCGCCAAACCAAGCCGCCCCGGGGGAGAACGGCGAGATCCCACCGTAGCCTAGCTATGCAGTAGCTGTATATGCCAGTAAAGGTTGGCAGGTTCTTTCTTTCTAAGTATCATTCATCTCTTTATTTGGATATCTTCTATTTATTGTATGATCATTTATATTGTTTGTAGTTGTAACAGCATGAGATGTAAACAGAGGCCAGCATTTCCAAGCTTAGAATCTGTTGGTTTGTTTCTTAATACGTACGTTCCTTTCGTAACTCGTGAATTCTATATTTACTTCTGATCTTGGTATTTGTCCCTTTCCATGTCATTATTGTCTTTTTTAAAGTACAACGGGGAGAGGAACAAATCGCGCTCACTGGGTTGCCCCGTCCCTACTATGCCCATTTCAGAGAGCTTAGCCTATTTGAAGACACACCCATATGAGGATGCTGGTTGTTTCAGATTCTAGGAAACTCGCCGCACAAGAATTGAGGCTCAGATTGTGTCATCCCTTCACCCTTAAACAAAACACACCCACACAAAGACACTCAATGTTCAATGCCAATGGTTTAATGGTTGGCTCGAAAACCTTATCCTAAGCTGCCACATGCTGTCAATCTCTGAGCTCACCACCCCACGTATTTGTGTGCCTTTGTTTCGAGGGGCCCTTTTCTTGTGGTTTTGAAGGGAAACCAATACGAAAAACAACCGTTTGGCGAGGGGGTCAACCATATTGACCACTGCGCGTGCCCTGGTTTGGCACCAGCAACAAGCCGACAGGGCTTCAGAGCGGTGGATGAACTTGGGCTGACCAAAAGTGCATCCCCAATCAAAATCAAGGAGGTTATTGATCTTGGGTTCCCAGTAGTTTATCATTTCCAGGCAAGCAAAGTAGGGACAAGGGCAATGGTTCCTTTGACAGGTGTTCAGGTGTTGGCTTTGTCGATGCTGGTCACTTGGGCTGAGCTTTTCAACTTGTGTCAAGCTGGCACCCGAGTTTGCGATCCGGTTGGACTCCAGTCCTGTCCCGGGCAAATGACAGCGACTGCACTTGACAGATTGCGACCCATGCAAGTTCCATCCTTGAGGAGTTCCAATTCAGGTGAATCAGTAATCTACCCAAACGTAGGAGTGAAGTTTGGAAACCTGAGTGAGGGGCTTGTCCAATGGCCAGAGCCTTGTGCTGCCAGCTTTGTGATCTATCCCGGCAAGATGTCCAAGGGCAATTCCTTCAGAATAGGCACGCTCTGGCAAAGTGGGGAAGGAGTTGACCAATGGGGCGGCAGCCTTTGTTTTGAGGGTGTCCCTTTTTGTTAGTTTGAATGGAGTAGAATGGGAAACTCAGCTTTGTGGTTGGTTCGCGTTTTTGGAGACCGACCCGAATGGATGTTGCCAAAAAAGGAATTCCTGAACATTGGCTTTCTTTGCTAATCCGCAGGAGTTGGAGATTGTTTCACTCTTGCCAGCGGACAGTTTTGACATGATCTTTTGATTTATGCGAGCCCCCCTTTAGCAGCTTATAGTCGGGAGTGGCATGCAGTCTTCCCATTTGACATTCTAATGGTAGGATGAAACACTGGAGTGATTCATGGCACTATTACGGGGGGGCCCTTTGCTGCAGACGAGCAGTATGAGTATGTGTTGTTGTTTGATTGCGCCCATTTGAGGGGGAATTTAAAGGACATCCAGAATTTGTTGGGCCAGTTTGGCACCGGCGACTGGAAGGAAGCAACAGTATGTTCTCACTGCAACACCGATGCTAATGGCCCCTACTGCCTCTCGGCAGACTCTGTTTGGGGTACGGCTGCGCAATCAAGCTCTGTAGTTTGGTGGTCCCAACCACAAAATGTGTGTCGGTTTCCTTTTGGTTGGGATTTGAAGCCAAAAGACAAGCAGCCATTTGAAGGGGCCACTATTTGAGCAAACCCCTATTTACCCTTCTACCCTTCTGATTCTTTGCATGGTTCGACTCCTGCGGGCTTTGACTCTCCTCTTCACTTCCCGCAAGGCATTATCGGCCGGCTCTTTCCAGAGGACGGAGTTGGGGGATCGCGGTGCAATCCTTTCTCGGTTCTTGGGGCTTAAGAGGTTTTTCTGGCACAACCACAACGACAACAAACAACGACGGACAACAGCAACCAACAACAAACAACAACCAGCCAGCCAGGCAGGCAGGCAGGCAGCCAGCCAAGCAAGCAAGCAACCAACCAACCAACAAACCACCCAACCAACCAACCAGCCAGCCAGCCAGCCAGCCAACCAACCAACCAATCAACCAACAGCAGCAGCAGCAATAATCACCCCACCACCACCACCACCACCACCAGCTATTACTACTACTACTACTACTACTACTACTACTACTACTACTACTACTACTACTACTACTACTACTACTACTACTACTACTACTACTACTACTACTACTACTACTTCTACGGCCAGCACTTGTGGTTTGCCCGGAGGCTTTTTCCGGGGCCTCACGCGCTCAGATTTCCACGCGCCTGCCAGCGTTTTAGCACCCGCACCTGATATCGAACAGTCTGCCCTTAGAACATCGGCAAGCCTTCGCGCAACTGCGCAGGGTGCGGCTTTTCGATGGGTCACTCTGTGCATTTTTTGGGACTACTCCAGGCTCAGCCAGAAGTTAGAAGGTGACAAGTGAGGCTCTCCGCACCCTAAAGTGAGGGTTTAACCCGTAAAACCAAACCCTAAAGGAGGGGCGTGAGGCCTAAACCTGAACCCTAAAGTGAGGGTTTGAGGCCAATTAAAAATGACTAAACCTTAAACTGGTGGTTTGAGGGCAAGAAACCCCTAAACCTGAACCCTCAAGTGGGGGTGTGAGGGTAAGTTGAACCCTAAAACTAAAGCCTAAACGGTGCTTCGAGGGTTAGACCCCAAACTATGCCGGGTTTGAGGGCAAGTTAAATCCTGAACCTGAGGGCAAGTGAACCCAAAACTTGACAAAACTATGCCTTAAACGGGGGGTTGAGGGCAAGTACAGCCGTAAACCTGAACCCTACGTGGGGCAAGTTTAGCCAAAGGCTGGAAAGAGCAGAAAGTGCAACAAAGTGGTTCTGGGCGAATTACACGTGCTGCGGGTACTTCTTCTACAACTTCTACTACTACTACTACTACTACTACTACTACTACTACTACAACTGCTACCACTACTACTACTACGACTTCTACTACCACTACTACGACAAACTACTACTACGACACTACTACTACGACCAAGTACCACCACGACCAACTACCACCACGACCAACTGCTGCTGCGACCAACCGCTACTTCTGCTGCTGCTGCTGCTACTACTGCAAGCAATCAAGGAATCAACCAAACACCACCACCACCAACTACAACAACAACAGCTGCAGCAACAGCAACAGCAGCAGCAGCAGCAGCAACAGCAACGGCAACAGCAACAGCCACAACGACGACGACGACAACGACAACAGCAGCAGCAGCAGCAAAGATAGCAAACAGCAAACGGCAAACAGCAAACAACCAACCACGAACAACAAAACAGCAAAAAACAAACAATCGAACAAGCAAATACACAAACAAACAAACAAGCAAGCGAGCAAGCAAGCAAACAACCACACAAACCAACAAAACCAACAACAACAGCCACGGCACAAGCAATCAATCGAACGAACGAACGAACGAAATAACAATCAACAAGCAAACCAGCACACACAAGCAAGTACGCACACGGACGAACAGACAAACAACCAATCAAACACATAAATAGACAAGCAAGCAAGCAAGCACGCAACCAAACAAGCGCACAACAACAGCGACAACTGCAGCTACTACTACGGCAAACAACACACACAACAAAAAACAAGCAACCGACAAGAACAGCAAGAACAACAACAGCAGCAGCAACAACAACAACTACCACCACCACTACCACCAAAACCACCACTGCCACCACCACCATCACCACCACCACCACCAACACCAACAACCACAACCACAACCACAACAACCACCACAACCACCACCACCACTACCACGACCACCACGACACCACCACCAACAACGACAACAACAACCACAACCTCAACCACCACCACCACCACCACCACCACCACCACCACCACCACCACCACGACACCACCACCAACAACGACAACGACAACGACAGCAACGACAACGTCGCCCCCACAAGGGTTGTCACCTGAAATCATGTAATTTCAGTCGGATCATGCGAAACCTTTGCGTTTTTTGTGTTTTCGATAACTGTATCTCTGTTTTCAACAGTGTGACAATGATTGCCTGGTTCATAGAGTGCTCTCCCAGCGCGTGTTGGCCTAAGCGAAATGCTTGATTTTCCAAGGGGGCAAAACGAAAACCCGGTTTCAACACCATCAACGGGTATCAACGCGGTTTTCAACGGTACTTCAAGCGACATGCGCGTGGGCGGGTGTGCTTGCCATGTGCCAGGCATGCGTGCATTTGAGCGACATGCGCGTGGGCGGGTGTGCTTGCTACGGGGTGCCTATTTTTAGGGAATTGTTCTCTTGTTGTTTTGGGAACTGTTTTCCATTAAGCAAGCAAGCAAGCAGGCAGGCAAGCAAGCAAGCAAGCAAGCAAACTCAAACGCATTATGAACAACTCGGAGATTCCGAGCTTTCCGGCTTGAAGCTTCTTGCCCATGGCCTCTGCCCCTGTGTTCACCCCCGCCCTGGACTTGCTGTTCTGGCATGGACTGGCTCGGACGGCGTTTCTCTGCTCTGTGGGGCGCGGACTGGGCTGGCGTTTCAGCGCGGCATCGCCTTCGCTTCTCTGCTTGTGTTTGGCTTGCCCGGCCCTGGACGGATTTTTTGGTCTTCTCTCCCACGCTGTAGCCGGCTGGTTTCGCGCTGCCTGCCAACCTGGTCGGCCCTTGCCTTTCTCAGCGTTCCAATGTGTCCTGGCCCTCCTGCTTCATCTCTTTCAGAGCGCCAACGCCAGAACAGGTTGTGGAAGTTTCAGATAGCCCCGCCAGGCCTAAGCGCCACCTACCCTGCATGGTCTAGGCCCTATTGCGCAGATCTCAGGCGCTGCTGCTGTTGCGCGAATCCATTTCAGCCTTCAGTGTCAGTGTTGCTTCAGTCTAGTGGCTTTACTTCTGCCTTGCGAGCGTTGGCCCTGTCAATCTTTTTCTGCCGACGTCTTCTTCGTCGCTTTTGTCACTTGCTGCGTCGCCCGTCATCCCTGTTGCCCTGTCTACTTCGCCGCTGCACGCTTGCCTGCCCAAAGAACTGTGCGCCAAGATTTCGACGAAAACCCTGGGGCGGAGTTGGACTACTGGACTGGCTTCCTTCCAACGCGCCAGTGCTTGCGCGGCCTGTGAAGGCAAAGCAAGCAGGCAGCAGACTTGCCTGTAGAGCTGGCTAAGTATGCCCTTTTCCCGGTGGCTGTGATGGCGCAGTTTGCTGCGAACAAGGCGAGGCCAGCTTTGTGGCGGATTTCTTCTTGGCTTGTCTTGCAGGCTGCTTGCACCAAGGCTTTGTTGTGTTGCCCTACCCGGAGGAGACCCCACGTTTGCAGTACACCCTAGATTTTGGTCCTGGATCCAGCAGCAGGCAAAAGCCCTACTAAATGCACCGGGGGGACTTATGCACTTATAAGTTAGTTGTGGAACTTAACTTCTAACTTCCCCGTAAGTTCACCGCGCATCCCTTGTCTTTCGCTGAAAGCCACACACTCACAGGTAGCAAAGGTAACAGCAAGTACTAAGAAGCAGAGACCCGCTTACCAACTACTCACCACGAGGGCAAGAGAGCTTAAATGGTACAGGGCGAGGTGGGGGAGAAACACGAGCTAGAAAGAGTGCACATGCAATGTCGGCCTTGTGTCGGCCAATGTCGGCCACGGTCGGCCGTTGTATGGTTCCCTTGATGTCGGCCTACACGTTGTCATATAGGCCTGCTCGGCTTTGACGTCCGCCAAACGTCGGCCCAAGTTTCTCACCCAGGCTTACTTTGGGGCACTCTGCGATAGACAGGAAAAGCTGACGAACGCCGCCTTGACAGAAGTTGCCCAGAAACTGATACGCATTGCCTCTTTACACAGTCTGTCTGCTTTCAAAAAAAGCACAATTCACAGCGTTCGTAAGTTTCCCGTAAGTTCAACGGAAGTTCCCGGTAAGTTACTTTTTCTTCACCCTCTAAACCTGCGTAATCCCAACTAACTTGTATGTGAACCCTGATAATGG